CGGTCATGTCGCTGGCCGAGAAACGCATCCACGGTCACCCTTGGCGTGGGTATTTTATCTTCGAGTGTGCAGCCGTTCCCTAAGAACTAACGATTGATCGGGGTGAGAAATAGGAAGTCAGTAAGACTACAGAGGGCTCAGCACGCAACCAGCGCGGACCTGATCAATACTTACGGAACAGGCCACCCACCCAGCAGGGCACTGAAGAATATGTGTGTTTTTCAAGTGGACGCAGATACAAGATAGACCGTATTCTGAGTCATAAAACAAGTCTGGATACAGTTGAGAAGAAAAAAAAGTCAATCTAAAGTATGCTTTCGGACCACAATGGAAAATGAAGGTAACCAATCACAACTTGTGCTAAAACAGTACTTAGAGGAAACTTTATAGCACTAAAATGCCTATATTTTAAAAAGAAAGATAAGAAACTAGAAAAAGGAAAATAATGAAACATAAGGCAGAAAAAAGGAAATAGTAAAGATCAGAGTAGAAATGAGTAAAACAGAAAACAGGAAAAGAGAAAAATTGAAACCAAAAACGGATCCTTTGAGAAATCAGTTACATTGATAAACCTCTAGACTGATGGGGGGATGGGAAACATTACTAATGTCAGGAATGAGAAAGGACATCACTACAGATTCTTCAGATATTAAAAGGACACTCAGTCCTGGCTGGTGTGGCTCAGTGGATTGAGCTCCAGCCTGCAAACCAAAGAGTCATGGGTTTGATTCCCAGTCAGGGCACATGCCTGGGTTGTAGGCCAGGTCCCCAACTGGGGCACATGAGAGGCAACCACACATTGATGTTTTTCTCTCTCTCCCCCCTCCAAAAATAAGTAAATAATCTTTTTAAAAAATTAATGCCTAAGTGGAGGCGTATATACTCATGAATCAGAAAAGCTTAATGTTGCCAGTTCTCTCCAAATTGGTCTCCAGATTCAGTGCCACCCCAGGAGGGTTTATTTTGTTTTTATAACGAGGCACTTGAGGTCAGAGTGAGAGAACCCACAACCTACCCTGGAGGAAGAGTTCACTTTCTCTCACCTTGTCTGTCTCACCTCATCCGCACCCCCGAGCAGGGAGGGACTGGCCAGAGTCCCGGGCCCCTCAGCACACCAGTGCGGCTACCGGGTGGGGGCCCAGCGGTAGCGGGTGACACTGCATTATTGGCCCTCCGTGTCTCAGCCGAAATTGGGCAGGAAGGAAAGCACCCAGCGTCCGCTTGCAGGGTCAGGAGCAGCGGACTGACTGTGTGCAGGGCCCCGTGCCCTTTCCTACATGGAGGGCGCCAGGGCCCACCTTGCCTGTGACGAGGCCGAGGCTCGGGGCTTGCTCACCAGTATCAGTGGCTCAAATTTCCTGAGCACCTACTGTGTGCCATGTACTGTTCCAAATGCCACATGTCAGTGGCCTCCACACACCCACCACATCCTGTGAGGCAGGTAGCCATTTTTGTCCCCATTTCTTGTGTGAGGACACCAAGGCCTGAGAGCCAAGTTTCCCTGCTAGAGTCACACAGCCAGGGAGGGACAGGGAGGCGTGCAGACCCTCTACTGTGTCACCCAGGCCAGGCTGGAGACCCGCCTCTGGACGGTCCGTGCTCTCCTTCACGGGACCTTCCCGGTCATTGACATGCGGTGGACGGGTGCCACCACAGCTGCAGGTCACCTGGGCGGAGGGGCACATGTTGTCTCCCACCGGGGCCTGCACAGAGCCCGGCACCCCTGCCTTCCTCGTCCCTGAACCGTTTGAAGTCCTCACCCAGGCCCAGCTCTTCCAGTGGGTACAGCTTCCCCTCCCCCCGCCACGAGGCCAAGACGCTCTGGTTCCTTCTCCCAGTCTGTGCAGAAAAAGGCCCCCTCCCCAGGGAAGCCTTCCAGACTCCTGCAGACGTCATCGTCACAGCCTGGGTTCCCCGTAATATTTCACTTGTCCTCTCGGGGCCGAGGGCCCTGGGCTGCCGCCTCTCCCTCCAACAACCCGCAGAGAGCCTGGTGCACAGGAGGTGGTCAAAAGCACATCTGTCAAAAAGGGCGCCCGCTGCCACCTGGGTGAGCCCGAGGCAGTGCCGGGAGGCAGCAGCAGAAGTGGCACATCTGTGACCCCATTCGCAGGAATAGGGGCCTCCTGAGGGCAGGCAGCAGGTCAGCACTGTGGAGCATCCTCTGCCCCCCAGGACTGCGGCGTTGGCTGCAGAACTCGGTGGGTTCACTGAGAACCGTAGAATCACGCGTCCTAAGTAGGTGTACTCTGTGGTCTGTGAACCATCGCAGCAAAGCTGAGGAAAATAAGCACACCTGGCTGGCTGGCGCCCTGTGCGTTTCGTCGGTGCTGAAATCCCAGGCGGCCCAGTGCTGCCGGCCGCCCGGGCATGCAGACTCCGAGCCCCGCCAAGAGGGGCATCCTGGTCTGCAAGGGTGGCCCTCGCCCTCCCTCCCAGGTGCTCCGAGGGCTCTGAGAGGAGGTGGGGCGGGGTGTGCGTGACCGCTGGCAGGTGCGGAAACCAGCCTTCGAGGTCGGGTGGCCAGCCCGGCCTCACTCAGCAAGTTGAGTGGTCGCCAAGAATAGCACAGGGCTAATAGCGGCACCTCGCTCACTGTAAACACCAGCGCCATCCTCCTCCTGTCTGATTTAAAGGGACCGTAAAACACCAATCCGGGCAGCGGTGCTTACACCTAAGCTGCCGGTAGAGAAACTAAGTATGTCTGCCTTTCCTTCTGCTGGGGGGTGTTGGGGGGGTGCGGTGCAGTGCTGGCCCTGCCTGGTCCGAGCAGCTGGCCGCTGCCAGGACCCGTGTTGGCTGTGTGGTTGCCTCTCCGGACACAGGCTCCAGGACAGAGCTTGTCTGCTCAGACATGTTTGCTGGCGTTTAACAGTTCCCGCCGGCCTGGGCCAGCAGGGCTTCCGGCTGCTCGGCTCCCCACTAGGGGCCTTTCTGCCTGCTGTTAGCAGGGAGGAGCAGGGTATGGAAGGGCCCGGTGGTGTCACCAAAAAGGCGATGACAGAGCAGGGTCCCACGATGGCTGTTTGAAAGCAGCCCGGCTCAGCAACGCCCCAGCTGAGTGACCTGAGGCAGGTCCTGGCCCCGCTGGGGTCTGTTGCCTCGCCCGTCAGCAGGGATGCCCACCCCTTGGTGTTACCGTGGGGACAGGACAGCGGGCAATCGCTGTCTGGGTGTGCATCTCTGCGGGACTTGGCTGTGCCCTCGCAGTCTGGGTGGGTCACTTTGGAATAGTGTGGGTGCACAGTGGCCTCTTGCTGCCTGCAACGTTTGCCTTAATCGAATGCCCTGCCAGGCGGGAGAGGTGGCGACCAGGAGCCAAATCAAGCCGGAGTGACAGAAAGAGCCCCCTGGCTGTCCGAACCGTCCAGGGGCCTGCGAGGGCCGCCAGCACCGCCTCCCAGGGAGCTTGCTCCTCCTGGGACCAAAAGGGGTTTCCTTTCAGCCTCAAATGCTACCCGCTGTGAGCCCGGGTCCAGAGCAGAGGCTGGGCTCTCCCCAGAGTGACGTCGGGGTGGACGGCAAGCTGTGGCTGGGGCCTCGGCGCACCTGCTTCCCCCAGACGTCTTGGGGCAGGTGGGCCAGCCCTGCCCGGGCAGCAGGCTCCCAGGTCCAGCTCCCGCGACAGCTGGCTGGAGCCTGGTGCCTCTTTCATTCCAGCCTGGGACTTCTAAATTTAACCTGCTATCAGCTTGAAAGGCTGGAGGACTAAATGCCACTCGGAATCCACTTTACTATGACACCCCTCCCTGCACAGGCCCTTCTCGAAAATCACCCCCTGTGCAGGCTGCGGTCCTTGCGTCCTTGCTCAGCCTCATGGTCGCATGAAGGGTCGCATGCCCCAGCCACTGGGGCTTCTCCTGCTCAGCTTCCAGCTCTGCTTCCTCCGGCCGACAGCCAGGCCTGCCCCGCTCCCCGCCCCAGCTCACTGCGCACGGGCGTGCAGACGCATAGCCCTCTGTCTCCCGCCGGCGGAGCTCAGGAGCCCACGCTGAGACCGAAAGCCGAGCTGCCACAGTGAACTGCACCCCCAGTAGACATCTGGGTGGAAGGTGGCCCGCGGAGCCTGTTACGCAATTTCCTGCTGTGGTGCCTCTCGGGGCTCCTGCAGTGCGGGCAGCCCAGAGAGGGGGGCCAACCCCTGTGCCCAGAGAGAACAGGGCCACCTGTGCTCTGTCGCAATGCCCAGAGGCCACCGCCCACCCTGGCAGATGAACCCGTGGTCTGCCACTGACCGGGCAGCCCCTCCTCACAAAGAGCCCAGCTCACTGAGGGCAACGAGAAGTGACTGCACACCAGCTCCAAACTCCCAGGCTGCAGGCTGGGGTGGGGGGAGAAAGGCATTTCCTGCCTGGGAGCCCAGGATGGAGTGAGCGAAGGCATAGAGCCTGTTGAGTGACAGTCTCCAAAACTGAGCACTGCATGTATGCTCCCCAGGACTCTGGCTCTAGGGCCGGGGTTTGAATCCTGCACCTGCCTCTTTTCTTTTTTTTTTTAAATTTTTTATTTCTTTAGAGGGGAAGGGAAGGAGAGAGGGAGAGAAACATCAATGTTTGGTTGCCTTTTGTGTGTCCCCTGCTGGGAACTGGCCTGCAGGGGACTGGCCTGTAACCCAGACATGTGCCCTGACTGGGAATCGAACCGCGATCGTGTGGTTCGCAGGCCCGCACTCAATCCACTGAGCTATACCAGCCAGGGCCTGCACCTGCCTCTTTTCAGGTGCACAGCCCTGGGCAGCCTCTCCCCTCTGCCCCACTCAGTGTCCTCACCTGTGAAATGGGGACCCTGATAGCCCCCAGGTGAGGCAGTACCTGGAAGCTGAGAATGGCGGACCTGCTGAGAAGGTGTCGCCCACGGGCCTTCCCCTCCCAGGGTCTCCCGGGCCTGGGCCCCCCCAGGTTCCCAAAGCCATCCACTCCCCCATCCAGACACACAGAGCCGCCACCCCAAAACGAACTGCCACTCCAGAAACATCCAGACCCTAGCCGGCCCTTCTTTAAAATTAATTTTATTTTTCTTTGTGAATATTTTTTTAAAGGTTCATTTTACATTTTCTCCCAGCCGCGCGCCTCCTGGTAAGTGCACTGGCTTGTTTTCACAGTACTGTCCACGACCGGACAGCCCTTACTGCTGGACGGGCGTGTCCACTCTGGGGGAGGGGGTGGGGAGCTGGGGACCCGGCCAGGAGCCCGGGGGTCTGTGCTGCTGACATGAGGAAGGATGCCAAGGGACCAGCCCCAAGCTCAGCCCGGCACCTGTGGCCAGACCTGCAGCCGCCCCAGGGTCTTCAGAAAGGTCCAAGGGGCACGGAAAGGGGCAGTGGGCGGGTGGGAGCTGAGGACCAGACGTGCAGCGGTCGTCCCTTCCAGGTGGGTTTGGTCACACTGGCCAAGTCTGGGCTGGCAGGGACTCTGCCCCCAAACAGCTCAGGACGCCCCTCGCTGCTCTTTCCCACCCTCCACCCTCCACCCCGGGAAGAACCTCTGAGCTGGGACCCAGCTTCCGGACCCCTCGCCAGGGCCGTTCTCCTCTGTAGGGCTAGACCCGAGTGCAGAGAACGGCCACTCCACCGGCAGGCCAGGCCCTGTCCTGGGCAGCTGGACTCAGTGCCCCAGGGTGGAGCGGGGACCCACTGTTCCCCTCCCCCAAGGCTACGGCCTGTCTGGGTGGCACCACGGGAACTGGCAGCTTCCCCGCTCATCGGGCCCGAGGCCAGTGGCACAGAGCGGCTGGCCGTCAACCCAGCTGCCCCAGGATGGCCGTGCGCCCCCATCGGGTGGGGCTCGGGAGTGGGCCTGGGCGGTGAGCACCCCTTGAGTAAATGCCTCATCACGTGGCAACACAGCGGAGCGAGGGTTGGCGCCCGACGCCCTCCCGTGCTGTCCCTGGGGCCCCATGAGGGGCTCGTGTGCGGCAGAAACGAGTTGTTTTTCTTACCCAATGGACTTCCTGTGCTTGACTATTACTAGTTTGAATGCGGGACCTGGATGTTGCAGCTGTGGGTGGGGCAAGCTTGGAGGGAGGGGGCTGCCGTGGGGTGCTCCCCGCAGCGCTGGTGCTCGGCCTTCAGAGCGGACATAGCTGAGAAAGCTTGGTGTCACTCAGAACCAAATCCCAGGGCTGCAGGGGCCCAGGACTCCGGGGAGGGTGGCCCTCAACAACCGACCGCACTGTCCCAGGCCAACCTCCGCAGCGGCCCTGATGCCTCTCGACCCTGGGCCCATTCAGTCCCACAGCCTGGGCCCTGGTTCACTTCCTTGAGGACAGGCAGCTGGGGGTGCCAGCTGACCCCCCCACATGCCCAGGTCCTTCCTGGGGGTCTGCCCCACCTCCAGCTCTGTGCTGCTCGGGCCAGTCCGCAGCCCCCCACCCCAGCCCCGGGAGGGGCATTCCCTGAGGAGCCTGGAGGGAAGAGTGTGCCATTCTTCTCCCCTTAGAACTAAAACCGGGTCACTGGCCCAGCCCTCGGGGTGGTTGGGACTGTGTGGACGGACAGGGAGAGCCACACACTGGGACGAGAGGGCAGGCCATCTGGGGACAGACACTGAGGACAGAGGGTGAGAGCTCCCTAGGGCTCAACCTGGGACTCACAGGAGAGAAGGGGCCCAGACAGGGGACGGGCCAGAGCTCATGACCTTCCTCTGCAGGTGGGGGCCAGGGGCTCTACCTGGGGCCCTTTAAGTGGCGTCTGTCTGTGGCTGCGTTTCTGCTGAGACGCAAGAACGAGCAGCCTGTCTTAGGACGGAGACCCCGGGGCAGGGGGCGCAGGTGGTTCCTCTCTCCCCCCCGAAGCCACCCCCCCTCTGGCAGAGGATGGAGAGTCCAGTGGAAAAGAGACCTGGCTCCCTCAGTCTGGTTCGGTTTCTTTCCCTGAAATTCAACTTAAGGCAGAAGTTTGGCAAAGCGATTCTACGTAAGGCCGCGTGACAAGAGGGAGGACGAGGGGAGCCGCCACAGGAGCAAGAGCCGGTCTGTCCCTCGCCAGCTCCTCCTCCTCCTCCCGCCCCTGAACCTCCTAAAGAGGCATTCAAAAACAAACAAACAAACAAAAAAAACGGAAAAGCAGTTGTGTCAGAGTCTGTTGCCAGAGAATGACTGAGGAGAGGAAAGGAAAGGGGACCCCCAGTGACACTGATGGGCGCACACAGGGCTGGTCTGTCCTGGCTGCCCCCCCCATCACCTCGAGGAAGCGGCTCCGTCCGAGGGGGTGGGAGGCCATCCCAGGGCATGCGCACAGTGAGACTGCCGCTGGACAAGGTAGAATGGTTGTATTTTGCTGAATGAGGGGCGTCCGTGTGGGGCTGGGTCGCCACTGGAGTCTGCGTGAGCGGCGCCCCGCCGTCACCGGTGCTTGGGCGGGATCACCACCAGCGGCTGCCCGTACTTGGGCCGCCACATGAGGACCTGAGCATCATTGGCATTGGGCTTGACCAGGGCGCTGGGCGGTATGGGCTCGTTCTTGCTCAGGATCTTGGGCTGGTCCTGGGCGATGGGCTCCCGCAGCCGGGCGCGCTGGCCCAGGGGCCGCGTGGGGTTCACCTCAATGCTGAGCTGCATGCGCCAGTGTAGGGTCTGCAGGATGATCATGTCATTGGTCGAGGTGTTGGTGGCCACCAGCCACGTGGTGAAGCTCTGGTCGCGGTAGATGTTGGTCAGTCTGGCCACGTTGCTCTCGCTGACGGGCACGGCCCACGTGACGCTGGGGTAGAAGTTGTCGTTCATGCTGATGATGAACCTGGAGTCCCTCCTGGTGGGGCCCACGATGGTGCACGTCTCCGTGGTGTTGCCATACCAGGGGTAGTTCACCCCATCCGAGTCGCTGATGGCCTCGATCTTGCCCTCCTGGAGGTCTGGGAGCTCCCAGCTGGACCTGGACACAGGGAGACCAGTTAGCCAGACACATCCCAGGCTTTTCTGCGTCCCCTCCCAGGGGACCAGACAGTAGGCACACATTTGACGTTGTGGCAAGTGAATGGGGCTCCCCCAACATCACCTCCCTGTTCTCTTGCATCCTGTCCCATCGTCTCCCCGAGACCTCTGCAGGCAGAGCTGGATGCTGGCTGGGCTTCGGGGAGCTCTGGGGCCCCAGCCTGCAAGAAGGGGCGCCACACAGCAGGGTCTGGCGCTGCTGGGCAGTAATGGAGCCGATGTGTGCGGAGCCCAGCTGCTGGTGGCGGGGCCACACGTGACCTCGGTTTAGGCAGAGGCCACGGGTGGGACGGAAATGCAGGCTGGCCCGGCCCCTCTGGCCTACGCGTGTCCCACAGGTGGCAGCGAGGGCCTTTCTGTTGCTCTAAAGGCCACCAGGACACTTCAGAGCCCTGTGGCCATAGGGTGGCAGGTCCAGGAGCGATTCCTGGCCCCCCCGTAGACCAGTGTCTGACATGGGGCAAATACCCGCCCCTCTGAGCTTCAGTGCCATCACCTGGGATAGGGGTCACTTACAGGTTCTCCCTCCCAGCTCTGGGGTCTGGGGCGTAGGACCAGCACCCCCAGAGCCCTCTGCTTAGGGTCCGGCCCTTCATCTCCATGTCTCCCCCACCGGGCCCTCCCCAGAGCCACAGCCAGCACTGGAGGCTTCCGGGGCCCTCCCTTCGGCTCTTGCCCGCCCAAAAGAGGAAGCACCCTGCAGCCTGAATCGCCCCCGCCTGGTTGGTCCATCTTAGAAGCTGCAGAAACAAGAAAACCTGAGTCGCTCCCGTCTCGAAGCACCGCACTCAGCCCTGCCGCCGGGCCAGCTCCGTGCAGCCTCCTCTGCACCTCGCTGCGCTGCTGGACCGGAGCTTGGCTCTCACCTCCTGGAGGCTGAGGGGCCCGGCCTTCCAGGGCAGGGGCAGGCAGCCGGGACGCCCGAGCTCGGCCTCGGGAACCCCACAGGCCTTGCTCAAGTCTCAGTGGCCTCCTCCCTGGTGTGAGACCCCCAGTCAGGAGGACTGGTCCTCCCTCAACCCGACTTGGACACATGTCCCTGCTGGGGTCACTGGAAAATGAGGACAGGAACGTGCCAGCCTGACGCAGGGCACGAAGCACATGCTGGCAGTTGGTGGCTACTAGTGCCATTGTCATCACTATTGATTCCGACACCTGCTACCACACGGATGGACCCTGCGGACGCTTCACTGTGAAAGAAGCCAGTCGCAGAAGGCCAGACACCATGTGACTCCACCTGTCTGAGGTCCCTGGGGGACGGGAGGGGGAGTCCGTGTTTAATGGGGACAGTTTCCGTTTGGGACGAAAAAGCTTGGGAGATGGATGTGCAACCACGGAGATGCACTTAATGCCGCGGAACTCAAAAATGGCGAAGATGGTAAATTTCACGTAACTTACCACAACAAGAAACACACTTCTCTATCGAAATGCGTCCGTCATTCGGTGTTAGCAAAACCGGGGCCACTATAGGAGGAACGGTTCCGAATGTGACTTTGCTCATTTTGTACCCCTCATCTCTGTTTTCTGTTTATTTTATTGAGGATCCCAATTTAGGACGACACCTGCCTAGCAGGCCGTCTCCCGCCCTGAGCCTCGAGCTACTCCAGGGCCTCGAGTTTCTAAAGCGCCCACATGTCCTTGGGATCTCCGGGCTCTTCCAGAGCCACCGCGCCCCCACCTCGGCACAAGCCAGGCTGGCGCCTGTTCAGAAGGCACCCACTCTCCCACTCACAGTGGCCGCACTCCTTGCAAAACGCTTTTTAAGAAGCAGAAAGGAAACCTGCAAGAGGAACTTGGCTTTTCCTTGGCCTTTCGCTTCCTAAGAGCTGGTTCAGGGACTGGGGTGGAGTGGGGTGGAGCACAAGGAAGGCCTCTGACCCCAGGCTCGCAGCTCCTTTCCGCCCTCAGCGCCCGAACGCCCAAGCCCCAGCCCAGTCAGAGACAGGTGATGAGCCTCGTGAGCTGGCGTAGAGCCGCGGTCTCGTGCGTGCTATTACTCAGAGCCAGGGCCAAGGGCGTCTGGTTTGGAATCATCCCCAGCCGGCACGGGCTGGCTCTGGTCCCCACGGTCCCTGTGGTCCCCTCAAGGAAGTGAGGGCTTGTGGTGAAGGGCACAGGCTCTGGGGACCCAGTCTCGGGCCAGCTCTGGTCAAGTCACACATTTCTGAGCCTACGTTTTCTCATCAGTGAGTGAACTGTGGACAACCCTGTCCACCGTGCAGGGTTTCGGGGGATAATACGCGTTGATGTACGAACTGCCTGGTCCACAGTAAACAGCAACACGTGGAAACTTTCAGACCCTTCGGAGGGAGGTATTGGCAGTTGGGATTTGCCAAACTGGATCTGCCTGGAAGCACCCAGAAGCTTCTCTGACCTAACTTATACTTTCAGACCCCACGATCTGCAGTTTCTCCTCGAATGACCTTGGACTTCAAGGCAGACCCTCAGTTCTTTGCTCCATGGGGTAGTGGGGTGAGTCTGGACCCGGGCCCTGCACACACTCAGCATTTTCCCTGCTTGTATGGCAGGGACAACGTGGGCTCCGACCCACAGATGCCACCAAAAGGGTGAGTGAGTGACGAGGCCCCCAGCCCCGTGCCGGCACAGGAGCGCTTGGATGACATGTCTGACTGGGTTTGGGGGACTGTGAGCCTCGCCCTGAGGTCACAGGTCTGCACACGTGCACACACGTGTGCACATGCCCTCCCCAGGCTACAGAGCCAGTGGGCACTCTTGGTTCCTCTGACGGTTGTGTTTCACCGCACCCCAGAGCCCTCTGCCAGCAGCAGCGCCCCTCCCCATCCCGTCCTAGTCAGTCTCATGGCGAAGCTCTGGGGTCCCCCAGGGAAGCCTGCCCCGGCCCCTCCCACAAGGCCAGGTGCCCTGCATTAGATCCCCTCGGTCCTCGTCCTGCTGCTTCCTGGCACATTCATGGGGTGGCTCAGTAACCCTATGACCGTTGCTGACGACCCCGGGAGGGCTGCAGGCAGCCCTCTGGGACCAACACAGTGCTGGGCAGAGAGTCGGGCACCGCACATGCTGGTGCCCTGGGCCTGACTGCGGCAGGAACGGGCTTAGCTTCGCTCAGGGGACCCTGGCCCGGAGCTGCGTCAGCTGGTGCACCGCCCCCACCAGGACTGTCCCCGCCACAGCAGCAGCAGCTGTGGCTGCCAGAACACACTGGCCAGGCTGGGCAGCCTGTGTATGGGCACCTGCCCGGCTTCTCCTGGGACTTAGGGACACTAGAGGCCTGGCCCAGGGTCACACAACCAGAAAGCTGCCGGGCCAGGACCCTCAGCCTGAGCAGCTCTTCCCACTGGCCCCCAATGGACCCTCAGCCAGCGCACACACATTCACAGGTGTGCACCCCTGCACGTGCATGCACAGTGCACACGCACATGTGTGCACAGCCATGCACACGCACCTGTGTACACACATGCACAGGCCCTGCGCAGCACGCCTGACAGAATGGGAGTCTGAAGGGACCATAGAAAGGCCTTCCCCGGAGGCTGCAGAAGGGTTGATACTGTGCCCAGGGCCACCACGAGGGCTGGAGGCGGTCACCCCGTGTCCAGGCCTGGCCACCTGGCCAAGCTGGCCCAGTGCAAAGGCCTCAGTGGAGGGCGAAGGCCCAGGGAGGCCCTGGGCTGGCAGGAGCACCCCTTCCCTGGACACTTCTGAGAGAGCCAGGCAGGGGTGGGGATGAGGGCTGGGGTCTCTCCCGGCATGGACCACCCTTGTCGCCCCTGGGGGCTCCCCTCCCAGTGCGTGTGGGGTCGGCGATCCAGAGCCAGACCACCCGGTGCAGCCCACCAGGCCTCAGAGCAGAGCCATGGCACTTCCTGGCTTTCTTTACTTTGGGTTGTTTTCCTTAAAATTAATCACTTAAAAAAAAACTCAACTACATGTAGCTTCTCCTAAGAAACACTTTGAAAGAACAGGTTAAATATTCTAGGCCCATGTGTGTATTTTTCCCTAACACGTATCAAAATAAATGTGTTGCCCTCGATGTGATTTCCCCTTTAGCCTAAGTGGGTAACGGGCCCAGCTCCGTGCAGGCACCTGAGGGGCCCAGGAACAGGCAAGAGCTGCCGGGGGGGCCTCACTCCGGCCAGACGGGCACTCGGGGTTACTCCACCTGGTTGTGAGTAACACAGTTTTATACAATTTGCAGAAAGTCCCAATTCTGTAAAGTTTTGTAGTTTTACACAAACTGAGGCCCCAAAGCCCTTCCCAAACCAGCCTGGGGTCCCCATTTCCTGACTTGTGCCCTGTGCGGGGCCTACAAGGCTGGCCCCTCCCACCAAACTGGCCACCAGGCACCTGCTGGGGGGGGAGGGACTGCAGAGTCCCCTTCCTCCCCACCCTCAGCCCTGGGGCAAGGCCTGTTTTCGTTTCCAGTTATAAAAGCTGCTTTTTTTTTTTTTTTTTTTTTTAACGCCAGCCATAGAGAAGTGTGTGAAATTGAAACAAAAACGTCTCTTCCGCGCTGCCCGCCCTCCCTCAGGTTACCCACCACACTGCAGGCTGGTAAACATCCTTCTAGACCTTTCCCTCACACACACACACACACACACACACACACCCCCACACACATACGCATTGCCATTGTCAGTGGGACCTTTTTAACCAAAATGGGTTCTTACCCTACATAGTTTACAACTTTGTTTTAATACAACCTATAATTTGATCATTTTCCCCTTGTGGGAGCTGCTACAGGCCCACCGACCGATCTTTTTCATTTTACCCAGATCCAATTGGCAAAAAAATACATCTCTGTGTTTAGTGCCTCTCCCCGCCCCGGCGGCTGCCCGCACGTCCCCAGGAAGAGGCAGCGTTTGTTCCGGGCCCTCAGAAGGTGAGGGTTGAGGCAATTGCTTGGCCAGGGCCGGTCCAGGGGGAATTCTCTTTGGGCTGGCAGTCCCCTGCCACTTCCTCCCACCCCAAAGCCTGGAAGCGAGGACTTCCCTCTCCCGCCCACGCCTCCCTCGCCTCTGCCAGGGCCCAGCAGATGGGGAGGCCCCTTCCGGTTGAGGAGAGGAAGCAGCATCCTCAATTGTTCTGTGCGGGGGCCCGTGGTTCGGGCCTGGGCTGCAGGAAGAGGCCATGTGGTCACCAGGGCCATTCCTCCCGGCCCGTCCCCAGACCCGCCGGAGCAGAGCAGGCTTCCTTGGGCAAGTGGCTCCAGGCCTGGCAGCTGTTGGCTGCACATCCCACGAGGCCCTTGGAAAATAGCAGAGTGGACAGGGTGCCGGGCAGGTCTGCCCCCAGCCCAGCTCCAGCCTCCCCCGCCCACAGCCTCAGCCCCTCCAGCACTGCCCCGCCCTTCCCACCAGCCCGGACAACTGTAACACAGCCGGTTGCGTGCTGGCTCTTCCGCACGTTGCGTAATTAATAGCGATTATCCGTAGTTATGATACCAACAGCTGCCACGGATCGAGGCTTCGGCTGCACCAGGCCCTGTGCTGGGTTCTCGAAATGCCTCCCCTCGTTGCACCCCCACACAGCCTTGAATGAGGGAAGCACCGTCCTCCCCACTTCAGAGATGGGAGCGGGGAGGCTGGAGGCCCACGGCCACAGCCCCAGTGGGTGGCGGGGCTGGGACCCACACCCTTTTCCTCTTCTCTGCTCACCCACCAGTCGGCACTTTGGCAGAACCCTGAGCCAGAAGCAGACCTGGGCCCGGGCGTGGGCCCTGGCCGTGGGCCAGATTCCCTGGAGGGCTCCAGAGAAGAAGGGCAATCCAGGGGCAATGGGAAGCATCTCCCATACAGGCAAGAACTTGGGACTTGTCATTTAGAAGACTGTGCCAGCTGACAGGTGGCAGTTGAGGAATTGCGGAGGACGGGGTTGTGGAGGCAGGTGTCTCCGACAGTCTTGTGGGTGGGGTTGGCTTTGAAAGCAACGTGGGTGGGACCCCAACCCTATAGGATCCCCTCAACCTGGCACGAAGAAGCTCACCATCTCACAGCGGCCAGCAAGAGTCATATTATTGCCCCACTTCGGATATTCTGAGCCCAGAATGCCTTTCTGAATTCTCCTGGATTAGAGGTTAATCTCGAGCAGGGATGACGTTTGGGGGTATTATGGGCTTCAGCTAAGTATTCGGAATTAGGATTTTGATTACAAGCCCACTTGGAAAGGGCGGGAGCCCCAAGCCTGCCACACGGCGGTGCCGTGCCCGCCCCGGGCCGCCGAAGCCCAGTGTGTGGGTTTCATTTTAATGGATCCAACTGTCTGTGTCCAGCCCGGCGGTTCTCAGCCAGGGCGGCTTCACACCCTCCCAGGGACAACCAGAAACGTCTGGAGACATCTTTGGTTGTCACCACAGGAGATTGGGGGCTTCTGGCATCGAGTGGGCAGAGAGGAGGGACACTGCTCCGCGCCCTACAATGCACAGGGCAGCCTCTGGTCTGGGCAAAGCTAGGGGACAGTCCTGGGCAGCTGCCGGTCTCTGGCTAGTCCCACTGGCTCAGCGGTCCTCTCCTTCTTTCATGTCGTGGGGCTTAAAAATAGGGAAAAGGGCAGTTAGGGGTAAGGACGATGGGAAGGGTCCTGTACGTCACCCTCACTGCCAGGGTCTGTCTAAACTGGCCCTTCTCATTCCCGGGGGCCCTGGCTCCGCACGGGAGGGACCACCTCGAGCCAAACGAGGAACCGCGCCGTTCGGTCATTCTTAGTACGATTTTGTTGATGAATCCTAAATCAAGCTTCCGACACAGAATCGGAGCCACAGGGTCATCACCTACACCTGTCCCCCCACTGAATCCCCACAGCAGCCTATGGGGAGTCGTCACAGATGACAGAACTGAAGTTCTGAGCAGTGGCTTTCCAAGGCCCCAGACCCAGCACTGGTCAGTCATTCTGACCCCAGGGCCTGAGCCCAGGAAGGACACTGACCCTCCCAGGGCACCCCAAACCCTGCCCTTTCTCTGGGGTGGACCCCCTGCCGACTGGGATTAGGTCGCAGTCACAGAGGGTCCTGGCCAGCAGAGGCGGCCGAGAAGGGGGGGGAGCCAAGGCGAGCAGGCAGGGAGCATGGACACTGGCCTTCAGGCCCTTGAGAACTCCAACTATTCGTAATCTGCACTATTTCAAAGTTTCTTAAAGCTGGGGAGTGGCCGTGTGTGAAAGAGGAAGGCCTGGGCCGGGGACATTCAGAACAAGAGGAATTTACATCGGCCAGATCCTGGGGTTCCAGCCTGGCTCCCGAAGCGCTAGGCTGCTGTCGCCCCTCACCCCCATCAGAGCGATCACCCCCGTGGCCACAGGAATGACCACGGTCCAGGCGAAAGCTGCTGCACTGAGTGACTGTGGCCTCAGCAGGTGCCGACTGCTGGACAAATGTCACCTCCCATCATTCTCACAGTAAGCCAGGGCACAAACACTAGGACGCCCCAGTTTGCAGAGGAGGAAACCAAGGGTCAGAGTGTTTCGGGTCACAGCCTGGACTCCCGACCAGGTCTGCTCACCTGCATCTGGGGATGCCCTGGGCCACTCTGACCAGGAACCGAGGCCGAGTGCAGACAGACCAAGGTCACCTCGGGTCGCCTGACACTGGCCTCCTCCGGCAAGCGTGCCTCGACCTACCCAGAGCTGCCAAGTGGAGCGAGGGGCCTCAAAGCCCAGACACCCCATGCACAGGGGGCAACACCGAGGCTGCGAGCCAGGCCCACCCCTCCCCACCGCACAGCCACCCGGCTCATCAGAATGCAATCCCTTTCATTCCTGGCGTGGGTCTTCCCCCCCCCACT